ACTCTGCGGACCTGCCTGCCTGTGAACCTGAACGCTCGCCGCACCCTTCACAGCTTCTATTGGTCGTGGCAGACGTCCGTTGCCGCTATCCCGCCCCAATCGGAAGCTACGGGGGTACTCCGGGGATCCCGACCGCCGGGTGGGGTCCCAAGGGCCCATGGGGACCAGCCCCTGGGCGGTGGGGAGCGCTGAGGGGGCGCCGGCGCGGCTGCCCCTTGTGCTCACCGCGCTGTGGGCCGCGGCCGTGGCCCTGGAGCTGGCCTACGTGCTGGTACTGGGTCCCGGGCCGCCCCCGCTGGGACCCTTGGCCCGGACCTTGCAGCTTGCGCTGGCAGCCTTCCAGCTGCTCAACCTACTGGGCAACGTGGGGCTCTTCCTGCGCTCGGATCCCAGCATCCGGGGTGTGATGCTGGCCGGCCGTAGTCTGGGCCAGGGCTGGGCGTGAGTGGGGTGCGGGACCTGGCGGGGGGAGAAGCGGGAGCTTTGGGCAGGGGAAGGCCCCTAGGACCTAAAGATGTTAGAACCAGCTTACAATAAGATCCAATTGTTTGAGCCAGAGAACTCCTTTAGAACCAGAAGCCAGAAGGAGTATCATTCATTAACTTACAAATATTTATTGAGTACCTACTATGTGCAAGGTGCTGTCCTAGGCACTGGAGGAGATACAATAAAACATTACTGATTTCAGGGGGGAGGGGCAGATGGTAAACTTTAGGCGTAATAAAAATTAGCAAATAATGTAGAATGTTAGAAGGTGTTGGCGGTAAGGAAACAAAAAGAGCTGGGTAAAGGGGATGCAAATTGCTGCCTGAAATAGGGTGATCAAGGTAGGCCTCATCTAGAAGGTGGCATTTGAGCAAAGACTTGAAGGCAGTGAGAGAGTTAGCCACATTCATCTGGGAGAAGAATATTCCAGGCAGAGGGAACAGACAATGCAAAGGCCCTGAGACACTTTTGTGCCCGGCATGTTCCAGGAACAGCAAGACAGCCATTGTGGCTGGCGTGGAGTGAGCAGGGAAAAGAATCAGTCTGGCCACTGGGATGAGACTACACTAGATGGGGGCAAAGGTGGAATCAGGGAGACCAGTCGAGAGGCTGATGCAATAATCCAGGAGAGAGTTCATGGTGACTTGGACCAAGGTGGTGACTGGAGGAAATGAGACGTTTGCTCCTGACTGTTAGAGGCCAGAGAAAGGCCTCAGGACTAGGGCTCTCAGCGGAGGAGCCCTCAGACCTGCTGTGCTAGGACTGGAAGGGTCTTGGAGGTGGTGTTCTGCCTGCATTTACCTGTGAAGAACCTGAGGCTTAGTGAGCGCACTGGCTGTGCCTGCTTCCCCAGGGTGGACTCAGGGCTGACTGGGGCGTGATACAGGGGGTTCAGAGCTGCTAGGGGAACTGACCATGTGGTTCCTTCCCTGCAGTTACTGCTACCAGTGCCAGAGCCAGGTGCCACCACGCAGTGGGCACTGCTCTGCCTGCCGCATCTGCATCCTTCGCCGGGACCACCACTGCCGCCTGCTGGGCCGCTGCGTGGGCTTCCACAACTACCGGCCCTTCCTGTGTCTGCTGCTTCACGCCGCAGGTGTCCTGCTTCACATCTCTGTGCTGCTGGGCCCTGCCCTGTCTGCCCTGCTGCGAGCCCACTCACCTCTCCATACTGCCGCCCTCCTCCTGCTGCCCTGGCTGATGCTGCTCACAGGTGGGGAGCCACGGAGGCCTCCCAGGGAGGCAGAGGCCCATTCTGGTGGGAGGTGGGACTACCAGCTGGTTCTCCAGGCAGTGCCCTGGGGACCCAGTCCCAGTGTCAGTTGTAGGAGGTGAGGGCAGCCTGGCATTCAACTGAGGTGTACATTCTGCTAAAACACAGCGCCTTGACACAGGTACAGCGTTCTGGCTGAGAGAATCAGGGGAGGGTTCCAGGAGGTGTTGGCTGAGGAGGAAAGATAAGTGGGATTTCACTGAGAAGGGGTGGGAGGGTGAGGGAACATTCTGAGCTGAGGAAGCAGTGTGAACAAAGGCTTGGAGGTTGAGCTGGGTAGGGAGCAGTGAAGGCAACTCGATGGGAATTTTGAGAATTGAGCCTAGGATGACAGGTGAGGACTGGGTGGTGTGAGGAGATGGCCTTTCCTGGACTGTGCAGTGGGGAGCCGGTTAAAGTTACAGGCAGGGGAAGGTGCAGTCTTTGGAAGTTGGAAGGGGACGTTTTGGATGAGGATGCTGACTGAGAGGCTGTGTCCTGGGTGACTCTCTCCTTTGACACCACCCCAGATAGAAACCCCACTGGATTTTCATACTTTGTTCTGTGCCCCCGAGAATGCTTTGGGTTTTCTCTCTCCTGACTCCTTCCTCCTGACCTCTCCCCAGTCTTCCTTGTAACCTTGTCCTGCAGTTACTAAACTCTCCAACCTCTCTGAATAGTGGCTGTCTCTTCATCCTATTCAAGCCCAGCTTTGTCCCCAGGACCCCCTCCCTGCAGCCCAGGGGAGGCCTTGGGAGCCCCAGTGGGATTGTCAGGGTCTTCCTCTGCCCACACTGGCTTCCTGAGCAGCCCTCCTCCATGACCCCTGCCTTCACTGAGACTCAAGCCTTCCGGCTGCACCTCCCTGCACCTGCCCTCCGTCCACGGCCTCCTGCTCCCTCCCCGCAGTCACTGAAGACGTGGGCTCCTGCACCCAGTCTCTCTCTCAGCCCTGGGCCTTGTGGAAATCACAGGTTTCTGGAAGTCTGGGTGAATGGCCCCAGTCACTCAGCTTCTTGATCTTCTCCTCCATTTTCCTTCCTTCTCCGACAACCACATCCACACCCTAGTCCTGTCAGTACCCAAAATATGTCACCTCCCAGATCACCCCACCAGCCACCCCTCTCTCTGCTCCCACCTCCCCTCCTATTCATCTCTCACTCTTTTATCCCATGACACCTGCTCTGGAGCTCTTGGCCTTCACCTTCCTGTCCATCAGCACCTTCCCTCTTCACAGTCCCTAGTCCAGCTTGGAGCCCTCATTCCTACCCTTCTCCTGCAACATCTCAAACCTCTTTGCTCCATCTTCCTTCCACTGTGCTTTCCTGGCTTCTCTGTGTCTGCCCTTGGCTGCTGAGAGCTGCCAGAGATGCCTGGTACTTCATGGCATTTGGTACCATGTCATGTTTATGGCTACGGACCTCAATAGGCCCTCTCTGGTTCCTGATGTCCTGGTTTCTCATAAGCTCACTCCCCTTAATCACTGCAGCTCAGACCTTTACACTTTCCTGTCCTCCGAGCCCCAGCCTCGCATGAAAATACATCACAGAGAAAATTACACATCAGATGGCACATCCAGAGTTGTCTGTCCTGTCCTAGGGGCAGAAGCTGATGGCCCCAGCTGCTCCTGGGGTCGGGCCCCTCCCAGCTCGTAGGCCTCGCACTGTGTGTGGCCCCTCCTCCTGCCACTCCCTCTGCTGACTTCCTCTGGGTTTTCCCACCTGGTACAAACCCTCTCTTCACTCCACATCCTCCTCTAGCTCTTATCTTCCAGCTCTTCCATCAGCAGCCAAGTCAGAGGACTTACCTAGGTTCAGAGGCTGCTTTTCCCCGCCTCCCACCCATTCCTCCACCTGCTCCAAACTGGCTTCTGCCCCTCCCCGCCCTCTGAGACTGCCACAGTCCCCAGGCCTCTGTCTCCACAAAACCCAGAGGACCCTTCCGAGTTCTCATCTTGCTTCATGAGACCTTTCAGCCTCATAAAGCTATGGCCTCCAGCCTCCTTCAATGCCACTAACAGCTTGTACTGTGGGTTTTCCTCCTTCCTTACTGGTTTCCTTTATCTGGTCCCTAAGGACCTGGTTTTCTGGCTGAGGTTCAGGCACCATCCTCCTCTCACTCTGCACACTGGCAGATCTTGGAACCGCCTGTGTGCCGACCACACGCAGATCTGCATATCCAGCCTGGGCTTCTCCCCTGAGCTTCCAGAACCATCCACTCATTTCACAGGCACCTCTCCATCCTGCCTCAGGACTGTCAAACAGAATGTTTTCTCCCCTCTTCACCTTGTAAATACCTCCTTAACCTTCAGGCACCATGCAAAATGTCACTATCAAAATAGATAAAGTTTACTTCCCTGAGCCTCTTAATAATTTTGCATGTCATCTCCTTTCCCCCAGCCACAGGCTATCTTTTTTATTGAAGTAAAATTCATATAACATGAAACTCATAATTTTAACCATTTTCAAATGCACAATTCAGCTGCATTTAGTACATTCACAATGTTGTGCAACCATCACCACTAATTCCAGACCATTTTCATCACCCTCCAAAACAAACCCTGTACCCATTAAGAAGTCACTCCCCATTTCCTCAGAGTCCCCCAAGTCTGGTAACCACAAATCTTCTCTTTGTCTTTATGGATTTGCCTGTTTGGGACATTTCATATAAATGGCACCATACAGTATGTGACCTTTTGTGTCTGGCTTCTCTCACTTGGCATGTTTCATGGCATCTTGTAGTTCTTTAGTTCAGCCAATACTTCTTACCTGCTGTGGGCCAGGACGGTGCAAGATGCTGTACTTTTCCATTGTGACGCGCATCACAGCTGTAATTAAGTAGCTGAGACCTGATCTCTTGACCTGAGCTCTATCTGTGAGCTCCCTTAGGTCAGAGATACCACCTGCCATTCATCCTGGTAGTCACGGGAGGTGCTCACAAGTTTGCGATGCCTGAGTGAAAGTTGTATCTAGGGGATGAAAGTCATATCCAGTGCAGGGGGCCGTGTCTTTCGGGCTCACCAGTGTGTTTCCATCAGCCAGCATGGGTTGGCCAGGGAGCAGTGACTCAGTGTTTGCTGAGCAGAGGAATGAGCCCTATTTCATGGTGGAGTAGGGGTGGGAGGAGGGCAGAAGCTGGGCTTTGGGAGGGCTGAGCCCGCTGCTTCTCCCTGACCCTGTCTGCGCTCTCTTTGCAGGCAGAGTGTCTCTGGCGCAATTCGCCCTGGCCTTCGTGACCGACACGTGTGTGGCGGGTGCGCTATTGTGTGGGGCTGGACTGCTCTTCCATGGGATGCTGCTGCTGAGGGGCCAGACCACGTGGGAGTGGGCCCGGGGCCAGCACTCTTATGACCTGGGTCCCTGCCACAACCTGCAGGCAGCCCTGGGGCCCCGCTGGGTCCTCGTCTGGCTCTGGCCCTTCCTGGCTTCCCCGTTGCCTGGGGATGGGATCACCTTCCAGACCACAGCTGATGTGGGACTCATGGCTTCCTGACTTTGGGAAGAGCTTGAGCTGTACAAGGTGTGGGAAGCAGGAGAGGTGACTCAACTCATTTCAGACCCACCCCCAGCCTCAGGAGGGGAGGCGACTTGTTACTTGATGCCTGCTTTTGGCAACTCCAGCCCCACCCTTGGCCTTGGCCTTGGCCTTGCCCTTGCCCAGCTTGGACACCTAGTGTCCAGGGCTTGGGCCCTGTGATTCTGCCTCTGTCAGTGGCCCCTAAATACAGTGGAGGGTCTGGTAAGGGTCTGCTTAGCCAACCTAGCTGCCCCTTTGCCAGGATAATAAAGCTCCCCTCTTGGTTTTTGGACTTCCTCCAACTTTGTGGGTTTCTGGTCCTTCACTGTTGCTGGGGCTGCTGTTTTTGGTGCCTCTGATTGTCCGGCCTGGGAACCACAGAATGCCTGATAGTTTGGAGTCAGGGCTCTGCCTTCTGTTGCCTTGGGGAGGGGGTTGAGGGAGGCCAGCCGGCCAAGGCAGAATGTAGTAATCCAAGGAATGAGAATCTGACATTCTTTCCCAGGTTCAGTGCTTTACAGTTAGGTACACTGGGCGGCAGTTATACAAGTGATAAACTTACAGCGCTGAGAGCTGATGTGATAAGATCGTGGGATAGCAAATGGAGAAGCCTGGATTTGAACCCAGATCTCTGTGCTTTCTCCTTCACCCTTGCACAGCCGAGGGAAGGGAGTAGGAGAAAGCCAGAGAAAGCAGGTGGGGATGATTAAGCATCCGTGAGGAACGGTACTGAAGGCTGAGCTCCTCCTCTCTGGACTCTTCAGGAGCTACTGTTAACACTTTTACTTAAGTATAGTGAACAAACACTTCCAGTTAAATGCAGCAGGTTTAAATACATGAATTTACCTGTTTACTCTTAAAATCTAAAATGATAGTAGCAAAATAAAAAATGATGTAAATTTACAAAGAGAAAGAAAATAGGAGGGAGACAGCTGTAGACCAAAGAGCTTGACAACATTTTGAAAGATAGAAAGTGGACGGAGGCTCATTTACTCTCTCAGAGAATCAGAAGTTGAAATTAAGTGTTCCCAGAAGGAGGGGCCAAGACGCAGCCAAACCAGCCCCTAGAGCCCTGCAGAGGCTCAGGAATTCCACCAGCACCATGGAAGCCAAGGTTTGGGGCTGACAGTAGGGACTGATCCAAACAGCCTACGTGAGGAGCAGCTAGGCTGCCCCTCCCCCCAGGGTCCACCTGACCCCTGGCAGCCAAGCAGCTACCCCACTGGGTGGGGGTGGGGGCTTTTTGAAGCACCTTTGGAGCACTCGGGAGGGTGAGGGTGAGGGGCTGGACCAAAAATGGGGTTAAGTGAAAATCTAGATGCTGCTGTTTGGGGGCGGGGTCCTCCAGTGACCTTGCCTCCCAAGAACCCTCAGAGAAGCCCACCCTTCTGACAGGCCCTCCCGATGCCCACAGAGGTTTGAGCTACCAGGACTTTGTTTTTCCAAATGGCATGCATGGTCTATTACTATTTTTTCTCTGTAAGGAACTTGGTGTCCCTGTTACTCTGTGCTGTACATAAGCATTGGCTGACTTCCTGTTTTCTCCTCTGCTTTACCCCTCTCCCTCCAGAATATCTTTTCTTGTAATTTTACTAAAGAGGAGATGCAAGAAAATATAAAATAAAGAGAAACACCACCATCCCCAGCCCCATTTGAGAAATGGATACCATTTCCTTTGAAGTCTCTCCTGGGCCCCTCCCTTGTAGAGGAAACACTGTGCTGGTTAATCATTCCCTTGCTTTGCTTTGTGATGTCATTATATATACTTGTATTGATTTTGCATGGTTTTGAATTTTATATAAAAGGAACCATACCATATTTATTCTTCTGTGATTTGCTTTTTCACCCAATACTATGTTTCTGAGATTTATCACAATTAATGTGTACAGCTGTAGGGCATTCCTTTTCCTTGCTGTATAGTGAGCCATTGAAAATACCACAATTTATTTTTCTATTTTGTCCCACTGATCATTGTATCTACCCCTGTATATGATCCCCTATGATCTATTCTTGGCCCTTGCTCTCCATATAAATTTTAGGATCAGTTTGTCAAGTTACACCAATAAAAACCCCTTTGAAACTGTGAATGGAACCCAACTGGACCTATAGATCGGTTTGGGAAAAATTGACATCTACATGAAATTGAATTTTCCAGTTCATGAACATGATGTATCTCCCCATTTAATGTTTTCAATAAAGTTATATACTTTTTCTCATAAAGATCATGCCTTTTTTTGTTAAGATTTATTATTTGATATTGTTATCCTATTGTTCATGGCTTATGAAAATAAATTATTTCCAGCAAAGCTAAAACTTATAATTTACTTGTAAATTCTTCTGAGTTTTCTATAGTTATATCTATGAAAAAATGGTTTTGCTTCTCCCTTTTAATCTTTTTTTTCATTTTTAAAAAACTGAAGTATAGTCAGTTTACAGTGTAATTTCTTGTGTACAGCTTGATCATTTTATATACTCTTACTTTTTTTTTCCTTTAAATATATTGAAAACACATATTCTATATACTGTTTGGTAATTCTAATATCTTAAGTCTTTGAGGTCTGATTATGCAGGCTATTGTTTGTTTGCTCTTGCTCACAATGCCTTATTTTCCTGTAATTTGTGAGTTCTGACTGTAAGTTCTTATTTCCTGCAATTTTATCAATGGAGATTTTTTGAGATTGGGTTAAAAGTAAATTCTTCCAGGGAAGAAATGTGTTTATCAGTTGCCTGATGACAAACCAATTCTGCACCACTTTAAATTCTGCACCACTTTAAATTCTCAGCTAGGGGTCTTTTGAGCGACCTGGGTATTGTCAATTTACGTTGCAAATTTATTCAGGCTGGCATGTGGTTAAAAATTTTCAGGAGAGATCTTTCCCCTCTTCTACCCAGTATTAGGCTTGGAAATAGGCAATTTCCCTTGCTGATCCTGGTAAGATTTCAAAGAACCAGCTTCTGGTTTCACTGATTTTTCTCTATTGGTTTCTTGTTCTCAATTTCATTGATTTCTGCTCTAATTCTTTTTTATTTCTTTTCTTCTGCTTACTTTGGATTTAACTTGTCTTTTCTTTTCTAGTTTCCTAAGGTAAAACCTTAGATTATTGATTTTAGATCTTTCTTCTTTTCTAATATATCCAATTTAATGCTATAAACTCCCCTCCAAGTAGTGCTTTCACTGCATTCCACAAATTTTGATAAGTTGTGTTTTCATTTTCATTTAGTTCAAAATATTTTAGTATTTCTCTTAAGATTTCTTCTTTGACCTACGTGTTATTTAGAAGCATGCTGTTGAAGTTCCAAGTATTTTGAAATTTTTTCATTATCTTTCTGTTATTTATTTACATTTTGGTCTGAGAGCAGACTTACATGATTTCTATTCTACTAAATTTGTTAAGGTTTAACATTTTTTATTGATTTATAATCATTTTACAATGTTGTGTCAAATTCCAGTGTAAAGCACAATTTTTCAGTTATACGTGAACATTCATTGTCAAATTTTTTCTCTGTGAGCTACCATAAGATCTTGTATATATTTCCCTGTGCTATACAGTATAATCTTGTTTATCTATTCTACAATTTTGAAATCCCAGTCTATCCCTTCCCATCCTCCACCCCCTGGCAACCACAAGTTTGT